AACCAGAAATTGTAAGATATTGATTACTGGAAGGTAGACAATCACAGGGGAGACTCACCCGTTGGCCACTGTCCTGGCTATAGTTTTAGTCTCTTGTGTCAAAGAGAAAGTCTCTTACTGTCACTGTCAGAATACCCTCTAATAAGTACATTTCTAACCAGCAGTATCAACACTTGCAAGAAAAACAAGAAAACAAACATGCCAAGAACACTGTATATTACCTTTATTAGAAATGTGAGACTGCTCCTGCTATGATAGTTATATACTGTATGGTGTAGTTGAGGCCCATTCTCTATGACATCTCTATGACAATACAGGACAGAGAAATTTAAAAACTGCAACTGTACATGAGCCTTATTTTTGAAAGTTTCCGCTTCTGCACCAGTAGAAATGTGTCACCTGAAAGGGCAGTGATCTGTTTCTGCATTTCTTCACTTAAAATGAAGAGTTACTGTTTGAAACCCAATTGAGCAGTTAGTGTGAGTAATGCATTTAAAATATGACATAAAGCATTTAGTGTGTTGTTTTGAAAATGTGTGGCATTTCTCCTTGTCTCTAGTACTGATGTTTATGCTATTTCTGGTAACCTAAAAATAAAGTGCGAATAAATTTGGACCTTATTGGCTAGACATTAGCAGAAAATGCTGAATGTGTGGCATATGTTTTCAGTGGTGACCTGTTAGATTTCTTTTATTTCTAAACCTTCAAAATTGTTAAACAATACACTACTATGACAGAACTGAATATGTCTGTAGATGCACTGATACAATACAAAAACACTACTCTTGTTTATAATAAACACATCTCACTACACTGGGATGACTAACATCCCATTCAAGGTGTATCTTGCCTTGCACCCATTGCCGTTGGGATAGGCTCTGGCTCTCCTGCAACCCTGTATTGGATAAAGGTTGATTGTTAGAAGATTGATGGAAGGATGTGAAGGCATTTTCATGCCACAATGAAGTGACAGATACAGTCTGCTCTCGAATATTCACAGAAAATGAACTTGGTGTCATCCAGACCATAGCCTAAGGGTATGTCCAAGAAACAGAAAATGGCAAGATAAAGATAATCCACTTGCAGCTATGATAACTGGTGATGGAAAATAGGCTGCAGAGTTGGATTTAATCCTTCAGCTTCTCCCTGAATTTCAAGGGCAAAACATAGGAATGGTTTCCCCAGATATAGCCTCAGATTTGTGAAGTTCTGTCTCTTTAACGTTTACGTTGTAAGAATATAAGAATAGTTACATACGAGAGTAACCCAGTTGGACCAGCTAGTGTCACGATCGTTACTCCTCCTCTTAAGGGCGCTCCAGCCCTTCCTCGTTCTGTCCTATTCCCCACACCTGTTCCTTATTCCAGCCCCCCTTTAGTTCCACCTTTAAAGCCAGATGCAGGCGTTTGCCCGAGGCTTCTCATTGAATCCCGTTTCGTGAAAGCCCGGGGTCCTGCTGTGTCTGGCTCCGTTATGGTTTTAGTTTCCTGTTCCTGATTCCCTGTCCCACAGGTCCCGACCCGGTTCTGGTTTTTAAATTACTTTGGATGGATCCCCTGGTCTTGGACTCTGCCTCCTATTTTGGATTTCCCTTTTGGATTTATGCTTGGATTGTTTGCCCCGGACTCACTTCCCCTGGACACCTGCTCACTTCGGACACGCCCCCTGTCTCCTGACCCACTCCTGCATGATATTTTTCCCTATTGTTTCTTCACCTTCCGGATCGTGTTGTCCGCATAGGGCCTGGAAAGAACTGTTCCTGACAGCTAGCCTATTTGGTAGCCATTTGATTATTGATCCAATAACCCAACATCTTCCTTGAAGAAAGCCCTTGTTGACTTCAACACCACGGCTGGGTAATTTGTTCCATACTCTGTTTTTTGTAGAGTTTTTCAACTTTCAATCCAACACACACGTTTCCTAGAGTGCCAAATGCTTGAAAACTTTGACTTTACCTTTTACTAGGAACTTTCTCAAAAGTTTCTTCTGAAAGTCTCAATACATCACGTCAAATACTCAGCCACCTATTACTGTTGATTGTTGTTCAAAGAATTGCAGCAAGTTGGTCAGATAAGCCTGCTATTCTAAATTCCTGTTTGCTGTTCCATAGGATATTTTTTCACCCAGATGATCTTTTAGTTAGGTTCTAAATGTCCCCATAGTCTTACGTGTAATAGAAGAAAGACTTACTGACCTTTAATTCCTTGGGTTTGCTCTGCACCTTTCTTACCTTATGGATAAGGCACCACATTAACAGTTTTCCAGTCTGTGAGTACTACCTGTGCTTGGAATGATTGCTGGTTATTCAGAATGGCTTCTGAGTAACATTTCTTTTTTCCTTGAATAGAGTTGGTTAAATACCATCATCCCTGGTGAGAGGAGACCTTTCTTCATTGTCTTAGTACTATAATCATTTTTTTAAAGAAACACGACAAAAAATAAGAATCAGTGAGCTGCGATTTATTGTCTGTCACTTACTACTCTAGAAAAAAATGAAAATGTCTTATGTTTACAGTACAATGTGGAACTGCATTGTAAGGTTGAAGAAATTGCACTGTTAAACGAAAGTGATTAGTATTCATAATAAACAATTTTTTTTATTTGTTTGTATTGGTTTGAGATTGATCACCATAACAGTTCAAATGTTCTAATACTGTTGGTGGTGTGCCAGCCTTGTAGTGCTATTTCATCCAGTTGAAACATTCAACAAACCATGCAGCGGCTGTCTCCTTTGAAATGGGTTTGCTTCCCCATAATTTTCTTTCACAGGAGAACTCCCCTACTAAATTGAAAAAAGAACCAAGAGGGACCCCTGAGAAAGCATAAAAACAAATAATAGCTCCCCCTTGCACACATTATTAGTGCTCACACTATTTTGTGAAACTCACTTCCTTTCTCCCACTGCACAGATGTTCTATTGCCATTGCCTGCAGCCACCTATCTCAAAGAAAATCTGCAATATTTCATTTTCAGTTCTGACACAAATCTGTATGATCTTTTTCATTAATAAGGTCTGTGACATCATGAAAATGCGGTCCCGGTTGGTGACACCATCGGTTTTCCCAAGAGACTGTCAATAAATCACTGTCTGAACTGGCTACTCAGTGCCAGTTCAATTATCAAACCTTTGGGCCCGGTCTGCATTTATTGTGTACACAGTGAACCTGAATTCCTCCTGTTGACAACTACACAGAATGCCTCGAAAAGAACATCTGCCATCTGCTCAAAACAAGCGGTGTTGTTTTTGAACGGCAAACTGTTCAGGGTTAAAATCCTTGTTCTTGTGCTGCTATCACTGGTTTTGATCCACGAAGTATGTAAAACGAAATAAGTACGACATGAGATTTTCGATAAACACTGGGGGTTACTGCTACCCTTAAAAGCAAATATTCAATTGAATAAACTATGTAGGAGTATGTAACCAAGAAATAGGGAATCAGAAACGTAGAGATGCATAAAGGGGTTAGTTACGTTTCTGCAATCACGTACACACCGATTGATTTGTTTAACCGTGCAGACAAGGGAGCATTGTTCTTAGTTCACGGAAAACTTTACACACTTAAATTCTCTGAAACTTTTTCCATAGCAAAGTCCACGAAATTAGTTTATTGAAACATTTAATCAAAGAACATAGAACACTTATTTGACTTGTTTTGTAGTCACAGAGACGTAGCCAAAAGCTGTTCCGTTTTTATTATTTAAACTGAAATAGAAGCAGGTGCCACTTCAAGCGTTTATGTACCATTTTCTTGTTTATTACTATGCACCACACTAATTATTGTAGTGAACACATTCGAAGATAGACAAGACGTAGCATATCCTCCCCCATTGCCCAGTTGTCAGGGTCTGTGAAGCAAAGCTCCTTGTGTTCCTCGAAATTCCACCAGTACGGAAAAAAAACGTTTTTTGTTTGGTCGCTATAGCAACCAATATGGTTACGGAATTGACTCTCATCCATGTAGGGGAGGGGGCAAAGTGCGACACTTTTGTTAGCGAAAAACTATTGAGGAGAGAAAGGAGAGAGAGAAAAGTGGAGGCTTTTCTTCTTTCTCCCCCGTGGAGGTAGCTGAGAGGAGGGGGTGGCTCTTCGGGTACTTCTCTGTTCCACTCCTTGAATGCAAATCGGGTTATATATATATATTTTCTTGTTCCATCCGTACCTTGGTGTCGGATAACCTGTAACTAAAAAGTCAGCGGGAGGTGGAGGAAAAAAGTTTAAAAAAAAAGGGGGTGGAGTGGAAAACAGATTCGAGCAAAGGGGGCTTGGAAAGCAAAAGCAGTAGTTAGTTCGAAGGAGGAGCCGTGGACGGACAAGACGGGCTCCCTGTTACAACCCGTGCAGAAGTAGAGGAGGGGGGAAAAAAAAACCTTCATCTTGTGTCTGCAGTGGTATCGCTATTTAAGCTAATTAGAGACAGCTCAAGAAGGCTTCACTCTTTGCTGTTTGGCTAACGCCGTCATGTGATTGCCCTTGGCTTTTCTTTCCTTCGCCTTTTTTTTTCTCCTTTCCTTTTTTTTAAGCACCCAAAAGCAGGTTTAGTAATCAACCGCCGGTTCTTCTCCCGGCCCCCCGTGCTTCAGTCGGCGGATTTTCTCCTCGGCAAGCAGAGCTGATCCGGGCAGAGGCTGTCTGTCTCACCGGCTGGGGGACCTGCTCCGCGGGGCTGCTGGCGAGGGTCAGGAAGACAGCAGGGGAACCCCCCCATCGCCCGGGCCCCCGTTTTTTTTTTAACAGCAATGACGCCACAGCTACACTGGAGGAAATAAAACAAACAAACAAAAAAAAAAAAAAAAAAAAAAACAAGCCCAACAACGAGTAGTGCGTCCTTAAAAAACCCCCGTCTATAAAAAAAAAATACACCACCCCCCTCGACGAGGCAGCACGGAAGAATCAAGAAACGACTCGACCAGCCTGCCGCCTCCGACGACGGTGAAGAAGACTAGTAGAAAAGAAGAAAAGAAAAGAAGAAGATTTTTTTCCCCCCCCCAACCCCCGTGGAAAAAAAAAAAAAATAAAAGGGGGGAAAATAACGAAACAAACGAACAAAATAAGACATATGCATTATATCTGGGTGGTGCGCGGAGCTAGGTAAGGAAATGATTTTTTTTCCTCCTTTCCTTGAAACAGGTGCATTTGGGCGATGGTGTGAATTCATTTTACGTTTGATATTTTTGTTTTCTTTTGTCGTTTTATTTAGCGTGGCAAACAAAAAAACGAGCAGTCCTCGGTTTCCTTCCTAAGTACGTTTGGGGGAGTTTATTCGCACTTCTGCCTTCTAACGGAACAAAGTGATTTAAAGACGGCCTTTGTTATTGAAGGGCCCCGACCCGACGGCTGTAATATGCAGTTATATTCAACTCAGGGGCTGGGTTTGGGACGACAAGGTGAAATAAATTAAAACTCCTCAATTCGTGCGCTCACACCGGTTTCGGCGAGGCCTTGATGGGGGTAAGGACGCTACTTGAGTCCTGTATAAGTATCCTGCTACCACGTATGGTCATAGTTATTAACGCCAGCGTTTCTAAATATTGATGCTATGTCCCTGTTTTAAAATAATCCCACCAAGTACTTGGCCTTTCAACGTAGCGGTGCGTCTACAATGTAATTACATTCAAAGAACAGTATATAAGCATGATTAGGAACCGCACCGTTTCTTCCAACAAGCCTTTTGTAAATCTGAAGTTGTCTTTTTCAGGGTGACCTCTTGTTTGGCAATCGAGGTACTTTGATTACTTTGAAACTTGCTACCTGCTGTAACTACAGTGGCGAAAACAAAAGGCGCCGTAGCAAGAAGGTTTATATTTGTGAATCTGGGCGCCTTTTGGATCGTTTAATTGTAATGTACGGGGTTGAGATGTAGCAAAAGTATACATTTCGTGTTCCCGGGTCTTGCAACCGTACATGTAGGTGGTACAGAAATAGATTCTGTAGGAACATTGTGCGTGCATGTATGCAGGTGCCGAAGAAACCCAAAGTGAAAACAAGATGAATAAAAAGCTCTAAAAATCTAGATGCATTGTCTTCGTTCTTGAAGTTTTCTGAATCGGTTTAGCTTCTTGTACGAGCACCCTCGGAGAGCCATTGGGCCGATTGTGTTTAATGCGTCTATCGATGCCGCCGTATATGGCTGGCCACCGAGTCTGTCTCGATAGCCAGCGATCGCGTTGATCTGCTCATTTTTATAGACCCGTATCGGACACGCCGCTTAATTCACTGGTGATACTTTCGTTAAATGCGAGTCGAGCATACATTTTTTCTTTCTTTCAAGGGAAGGACGGAGATCCTTGTAATTCCCGGTTGATAAAAACAAATTCAGAGCCCTGGGAATATCAAAATGGGTCAGAGAAAGGGACAAGCCGCGGAGAGAGGCGATCAATGGAGAAGAAATGAACTGTCGAGCACTGCAGTTTAAAGAGTACTGTTATACCCTTCACTCTATATCCCAGCCCCTGTTTAAATGTCTGTCATGTTGTATTTTCGTCTTGCACAAGTATACCATGTTCGGGCTCCGGCATATTTAAGCTTAATGCTGAACGTCATTCCGAGCGATTTATGTTGAGGTGCATCGGATGGCTTGTTCAGCTTTAGTGGGGGGACGTGTTTGGACATGATTTCCCCAGTTCTCCCCTGGCAGCGGGGCTGTATTATAAAATACTTTCTCTTGGAAAAACCTTCAGAAGATGGTCGGCCTATTAATTGACCAATAATCGTTCTTAAACTTCTCTGCACCACGCTTCAGAGGCGGCCGTCACCCGGAGACTGTTCTCTCGACGGATTCCAGGCCATTTTTCTTCATCTCGGGTGCAGAAAGCATTTCGTAGACCGGCTGGCTGAGGTTTTCCCATAGCTGGTGGTCAGCCAGACGAATACAGAGCGAAAAGGCATAAATGTGAGAATTAGATTCCCCGTCCGTTAATTGCAGTTGAGCGATTTAGGAATGGGAGGAAGTCAAGTGAACTTCTTACCCCCATTTCAATTTTCTCCCATGGTTGTAGTTAAATGTCAAATAATTGAATGACTCGTTGAGGTTTGTTGTTCTCCAAAGTTTAATTCAACTGGTTTATGTACTTGTGGTTCACTTTTTGCCCAGACACTCGAGTTTCTTTTGTGAAGGAAGGTGGAAAAGGTACTTTCTTGTTATAATTCATATGTGCATTCCACATCGGTAGTTAGTAGAAGATTATATGATAGACCTTTGGATTTCTGCATCCTTTATCGTATCTCGAAGATAAAGCCCTTATTCAGAGCAACAGAGTGCTAAGCTTTGTGAAGCCGCACTTTCTGTTTGATTTGTTTTGTCTCTGTAGCCGTCTCTTATTGTAGGTCTTATAATACAGAGACCTACAGTTAACCCGGTGTGGAAGTCTGGGCAAGCTGAATTGAAAACCTGTGCCCTTTAGACTGATATTTTAAAAGAGCAGTTCTTGTCGTTTCATACCACACAGAGGATGGGGTGGCGGAGGGGGTTGGGTGGAAAGCAGTTCAAAGAAGCAGCTTTCCTCTTAGGAAAAAGGGTTGGGTTTTTCTTTGATGTCTGATTCAAACAGAAATCTTGTTTACTGGCTTCTTTTGTAGGCAGACAATTAGCCCCCTTTTTAAGCATTTTTCGTATTTTCTTCTCCCATCCATATGTGGAGATTTTTCAACCTTAACCGATACCTTGTAACAGTAATTAGTTTTTTTCTGTTCTTGCTAGTAGCCTGTTTGTGGTTCTAAATGGCTGTCTTAGAGCTTTTGCTCATGTTAATGTCTGTTGAGTTTTTTTTTTTCCCGTCAAGTACGATGAGCTCCTCAATAAAGTTTTAAAATGGTAAGTCTCATTTGTGAAGAAGGCTCTCAACCACATAATTGTGCCAAATTCCCATTGGTATGCAGGTCACAAGTAAATAGTTAAAATAGGTAATTTTAAACTTTTCTGTGTAGTTGGCAGGTAAACCTTTTACCTCAGATCAATAGACCTTAAGTTTACATTGAGCTGCAGGTATTCAAATACAGGGTACACGTTAATGGGTTTGTGGACTATTAAACAGGTTGTTACAAGTTTTTTTTGTCGACCTAAACAAAGTAAAATTGCCCATTGTTTTATGTTATTTTGTAAAGCCCATATACAAATATTATAAGCAAGTAGAAAGCAGCTTTATGAATGACCACATTGTAGATTGTATGAACATTTTTCAACAGTAGATAAAAATGGGGGAACATTTTCTCTGCAGTGTATGCTATAAAATGGTAAACACAGCCCTGTTTTAAGCAACTTAGTCTTTGGTTTTTAGGTTTTACATATTCCACTTGTGTGTGCTGTTTGCTTTGAAGTGTTATTGTAATAAACTAAATCTCTGCACAATATGTGGGTAATGATTTGTTCTGATTAGGCGTTTGTCAGCAAGTGTGAAGCCCATGATATTCCCCAAAGGCCCACATACTAGAGCTACTGAATGTGTCTGTAACCCCCCCCCTTAGTCTCCTTCCCGTTTCTGAGCATTCCTCCATGTTAGAACTGAACTGTAGCTTTTCAAGTGAAACAAAAAAGACTGCAGAGCAGGTGTGGGTTCATGGTTTCGAATCGGCATGAATACAGTAGCACCTTATATCGCATTGTTTATATGTCTTTCGATTATTTTTTTTCCCCACATTTCGAAGCTCGCTTTGCTGTGGTAAATTACTGACTGCATTTAATCATTTAACTACACAGGCAGGTTAACATAGTTTTTCGCTGGTTAATTATAAGTAACCTGGGCTTGCTCCTGGATTTAAAGACCCTCTCACACACCACATAGTTATTTCTCACATAACTGATGATAAGCATTTATAACTTTACACTTCCAATACAGCTATAGTTTAAAAACATAGTGTGACTAATTTAATCAGTTTTAAAATACTCTTTTCTACTCATGTAAATAGTGTAGTACAAAAAAAAATCAGTTCCCCCTCAGGTTTGTTTTATATCTGAGAAAAATGGTTTCAGTTTATCTTTCATCTCAATATAAACATTTTTACTTGACCAAATTCGAAAGCAGGTATCACGGAGAAATCGTTATCTTATTCATGACACGGCTCTACTTTTTAATTGTTCTGGTAGCAGTTAAGTTTTGCATTGTTTTAGTGGGGAAGCACTATAGCTTAAAAATACATGTTATATTCTAATTTGAAGAGATTTCAACACTGTAAAATTGCTGAAGTAAATAATTTTTTAAAAACACTGGGGAAATAAGGAGGGTTTTACAGGATATAGGTTATACAGCATTGTGAGGTCTTGACACCAGTTCAAAGAATCTCCTTATCTGAAATTTATATAGTCTACAGATTGTCTTGTAACTAATTTTATAAGTTCCATTTTGTCTTTTTAAATTTTCAGGTTCTTTTGTGTTGATTAAAGTAATAAAAAGTGTGATTTAAAGAGTGTAACATCCCACAATAAACACTCCTGGCCCTGTTGTAATTAATGAAATGATGCTCAGTGCACCATTATGAATGTCATCTAAAAGAATTGCCTGCAATGAAATGAGGAGAATATTGTTGTGCTGTTCATTTTGGATTTCTACATACAATATAAAGGAGAAAATGTATTTTATGATAGGGATATGATTTGAGTTTATTAAAAATATTAATCTCACTTTACGCTGCTGTAAAGGTATTTCAATGTGAAATCAAATCTGGAATATTCTGGATAAATATTTGTTTGCAAATATAGATTTTAGGTATTTTTTCTTTCCAAAGTTTAGGGGTTTATAATGTTTTGTCATTATTTTTGTAATACAGCAGTGTATTTTTCAAAAATAAGCCATGATAACAGATTAATTATGGGCACATAACTGTAGTCATGCTTGACAAAACATAGCTCTAATTCTTTTAGACTGGGAACTTGTATTGAAGTTTTCAGATCAAAGTGTCCCTATTGACAAGAATACTACAACATCATGCTACTAGGCTGTCTTTTAAAGAGCCTACAGGCCACTCAGTAAGTGGAAAATGGGGAATTGCAAACTGTAATGGGAAATCACTAAGTTAAAACAAACTGAATTTAATGGAGACTTAATTTGATTTTTTTTTATTATTTATTGTTGGGTAGCTTAGTTGATTTGAGCATG